GCCAGTGGTAACTACCTGTCAGATCACACAGAAGCATGTAATAAAAACCAGGTAACTCTAGCAGTGCACAGATCCTCTGTGCTGTTCACAGGTTTATGGACAGCAACAGGGCGAAAGCAAACAGCCTAAGCTAAAATACACAAATCATATTTATTGAGGCTAAGACTTCATCTGCTATGCTGTACTTGTTTCAAACCACTTGTACAGTGTGTCAGATGGAAACCAAGATAAGGTACAGGAAGACCACAACATAAGAGATCCAGAGGGCAGCTTTCTGTGCATCAGCACGCTCTCCCACCCAGAGAATCACTTCTAACATTTTTTCATACAGCACTCATTCCCAAAGAAATTCTTGCAGCTTTTTTTTTTTTTTTTCATAGAAATGGCCTGTGTAACACCATTTATTCTGGAAAGTCATCATAACAGGAAAAAAAATATTATAAAAATTCTATGAATCACAACATGAGTAATCACTCATCTTTTAAAACAAGTAACAAAGAACCAGAAGAACAACTTTTGGTGAAGCTGTCATTCTCCACATATAGATATTGAGGAGTGGTATTTTAGGAACACCAAAAGTGCTTCATATTTTTACCTCAGTCACAGACACCTCCATAAGACGAGTTATTGGGTCTTGATGGCTCACAACACCAGAGAGCCAGCTATTTTCATCCTCTGGTTGGTAAACCTTAACTCTTTGGCCTTGGACACTGTAAGGACCTGGAAAAGAGGGACTCTGAGTATATTTTCCAGACAAGCTTTGTGTCATACTAGTTAAGTCATGCAATAAAATAGTTCTGTACGCTAATAATTCTGCTAATATCAGATTGTCAAAATCCACATGATCCAACAACCTGTATGTGATACACTCAGAATTAGGCAGAAGGCGGCTCTAAACTGGACAATTCTAAAGCTACTTGCTCATGTAAGAAGTCTTGTCCTCAGAAATTCTTATGAATACACCAAGAGGCACCAAATTCCCGTAAGGAATTACATCTCCCTTCAAATGTAAAACAGGAGCCTATCTCTAGGGTGGCCCCTGGCACTTGAACTCTGGATAGAACATTGTTTTAGCACTTGACCAAGACTACCCAGATCTACAACAGAAGTCACAATCAGTACAGGATCCAGATAACAGATAAGGTATTAACTCTATGCTGACCAGCTGTGTCCACACCACATTTTCAACTTAAACAATTCATGTATTAATCAGCAAAATGCCAAGATTTGAACTGACACTGCGAAGACAGTTTCTGAGGATCAACAACAACTACAGAAAAACTTCAATTCCAAATTTCCAGAATTACAGATTAGAACCATAAAAAGGACCAAAACTTTAAAAATTCTAAACTAAAACTTAAAATAAGGGAAGTTGTAAATACATGGAAATAGTCCTACTTTAACTAGGGACCATTCCCAGTAGGTATATCTGGTTGTATCTCAGCAACTGCTTACCTGTATCTGTGACAAAATAATGCTTTTTTGTAAAGAAATTGCAAAATATAGAAAAGCGACCTTCCAAATCAAACAGTAACAGATACTATTACTATCCTCCTTCACAAATCCCAGCATAGTCTAACTGTTCCACAACAAAGTAGCTCTGAGATAGAAAATACATTTCTCACCTCTACTAAAAATCTCCTGAAGCTTCTGGTCGCTGATCAGTGTATTGACAGATTCTCTTAGCAAAGGCTGTTCCTGCAGAATCTGATTTTGACTCTCTGTTCCCATCTGCCAACAACAAACAATTTTAACACAAAAGTATAGTCTTTTAAGGTAACAGAATCATTAGTTCTTAAGGGACAGCTCTTCTTGGACTGTTGTCAGAGACTGACAAACCAAAAAAAATGTAAAATTAAGGACAACATTACTGAGCACGTCAGGAGGAATAAAAGCATTAGCTATGCAAATGCTGTTGCAAAACTTGCATTGCAATTATCAGCTACACAATGTTTGACAACTAGCTCTCCGAATGAACAATAGAGAGAGTAACTGGGACTTTTCAAATGCAAATGGAGGTAGTGTAAGAACTTGGAAATGCAGGGAAAGAAACACAAACTCATGAAAGGCAGCAAAAGGAAAAAGACAATGATAAGTTGGTGGAACAGTAGGAAAAAAATAATGTGACAAGTACTGGACAAAGTTAAATTTACGTTTTAACTCGACACAGTTCAAATACCTGAAATGACACAGTTCAAATACCTGAAATGACACAGTTCAAATACCTGAAATAAACGTAATCCACTGGCATCCGACAGGAAACGTAAATGTCTGTCCAGAAGAAACTCTACTGGGACCACAGAGCCCAAGCCCAGCTTATCTACTAGAGGAGTGAAGGTCTGTGATGAACAACCAAAAAAAAGGTTATTAAAATGACTGAGCACACTTACAGGCCAACAACAGTCGATTTCACATGTTATTTACATTCAAAAATAATAAAAAACTTAATTTCTCAACTTGTACTGCCCAGTGCCTGAGTTTTAATGCAAAATATTAGTCCTTACGTCTAAGCTAATAATTCTTGCATATTACAAGCAGGAATTACAGACAATTGCCTCCACTTCATTAGATCTTAAAGCAGAAATGAAAACATCTGTCCTGGTATTTAATTTTTCATAGGTAAGCACCTTTTGATGCTCAAGTAAAAAAAAAAAGCTTTGGTTAATAGTTCTAACTATCTTATATATTTCAGATATACCCTCTGGAAAGGAGTGTTTTTATTCCTGTACAGAAGTCAACTGTAAGTAATTTATAGGCTTATTTTTAAAGGGGAGCTTTTTTTGCTATTGCTTTGTGCCAAATTGAAGTTCATAGTAAGTGTAGTATTGATGTTCAAGAGGCAGAACAAATAAAAAAAAAATACCTAGCAGAATTAGAATGACCTTATAAGGTAACTTGCTGATGGCAGAGGAATTTGCCAACCACTGGAGTCTTTGCAAAGTGCTTTTAACACGATTTTAACACACAAGTATTCACGACATTTTTCCCTTAACAGCTCTCATCAAGTTTGTTTACACTCCACCCTCCTGTACACAGCAGTATAAATATAAATTATTTTTTTCAGTTTGAGTAAAACTACTTCCCAGAAGTGAACAGAACTACAAGAAGGAGACAATGAAGGATGAATACACATTCTTAAGTGAGGTATCTAAAAAACATTGCACCTGTGTACCCTGGTGCTTTGGCTAACTCCAGTCTGCATTCCCAGGCAGTTATCTGGGTCGGCCTCTGTGCTTAGAGATAGCTTCAGTGCTCTCCTGTCCAGAGCACAGAGGATGGAAACGCTTTTTTAACAAGCCTACAGATAAAGCTGGAGTTGTAGTGGAAGTGCTCTGGGATCATCACACAATCAGTGTGCAGAATGTGGTAACACCCCCAAATCACTCAGACTGACAGACTTGGGAATCATATGAAAGAAACTGATCCTGCATAAAAACAAGTTTCCCAGATGAAACTAATTGGAGTTCACTTGGAGGCAAGTTGGAAATACACTGAAAGGAAAACTCTGCCTGTGGAAAAAGCACTATCTACAGAATCTCTATTGTAAAGGCCTGGTTTTCTTTTGCCTTAAGCCAAATGCAATAAAGAAATTCTCAGAGAAAGATGCAGTACTGAACTTGCTGCTTTGAGCCCAAGTGTCCATTTACAACACTGAATTCAAACTCTATCAAGGCACAAGATCCTTGACTGGAAAAAACATTTCAACGTACCCACGCACAAAATGTATTAAAAAGCAGAGAGTAGGATTCCAAGCAGTTCAAGGACTGCGAGAGGAGAAAACAAACAAAACAAGGGCCAAAAAATAAAAGTTAAACAGCATGAAAATGAAGGAAGGATTCTCACGTATTTTGGTCAAACACTCACCAGTGCAGGCCACTGTGCCAGCGAGACTCGAGTCCCCTGAAGCATAACTGGGTCATTTCGAGGTGCCCAAACCAATGATCCTTCCAGCAGCAACACTATAACTTCTTCAGCATGGACTTTCACCCAGGCGTGTTGGTTCCAGTTACAGCCATCGAATTCCACAAAGATCTGATTAAAAAAAAATTTAGAAGGCATTTCATCTCTTTTCAGACACTGAATAGAAAATAATATTCCTACAATCCCTATGGAAAAGGAGACAGCAGCTTTAGTAAGAAAAATCAGGATAAGTGTTGTAATGTTAACACTGAGAACACCACATCTACAGAGCTATCAAATATTACAAAAGAAATGGGAATCTAATTCATAGCAATTACTAACCTATGAAACATTATTTATCCTGGCTTCAAACACTGCATTTTCCCATACAAAATATAAGATGTGAAAATTGTTCATCCCAAAATACAGCTGATGACCCAGTGGAAGCCTCTTTCACAGTAGGATTTTTTAGAGAATTTCTACACTCTTACTTGGCACTTCAAACAGCCATTCAATCAGCATGGTTAACTGACATTCACAGAATTAAACACTTCAGCCTGGAACATTTGTGTTCATGGAATCCACTCTACATCACATTTTTGTGTTGTCTTGTACATTATTAAACTCCCTGAACAAACGCAAATATTTTGGATGGCATGAGATTGCCCAGAATTAACTACTCGCTAGATTTTTAATTACCTTATTTACAAGTGTAACAACATAAACCACGCTACACACACTACAATTCTAAACCCTTACTCTATCATTCTCTTTTTTCCTATCATAAAGGACAAATGTTAAAGCCATATGAAATTACATGAAAAGAATGCTAAAAGCACAGGTTACAAATCCCATTCCATGTGCTAACAACTGGAGTTATTAAATATTAAAACACAGTTGTATTCCAATCTTTCATCTCCAGAACTTACATACTCTCCAAATACAATCAAATATGTCGGATGGACAGCAAGACATTCCTCATCAGATAAGAAACACATTAAGTTGGACAGTCAAAACAGTTTTGTAATCATCACAAGACCACTGAGGGGTAACAGGGCACTAACCAGAGACAGCTCTCTGCTTTACCAATAAACCTTATTAAAAGAAGTATTACACTTACACACTCCTCCCCCCAAACCCAAAAGCTCAAACTCCAAAGGGAGTGGGAAAGAATATGAAACAACTCTCCTGATGAATTCTTGAATTCCATTACTGTTAAAGCTGCCCTGCAGAGAAACAGTACTGGACCTTTCAAGATATCCTTCCTCCAATTCAACAAATTTCAGCAATATAGTGGAAACAGGACTGAACACCTTTCCAGTTTCCATGAGCCTATAGATTTCTTAATATTATACTTGTGCTACTTTGGCAGTAGCATGCAATGGAATGAGAGGAGTTTCATATAAGAGAAACAAAAGGGAATTATTTGTTTACAATGTGTACAGTATTTGCGAGGTAACAGTCTTGTTATGATTCACTTATCATAAAGGTTATATGAAAAAAGTTTGTCATAAAGAACTGTTAGAATAATGCTGACTTTGGAATATATGCTTTTCTGCAAAACAGAAAAGTCGGGGCAGGTTTGTCTTACACAATTTACATTCAATATTCCGTTCTCTTTCCCCTTTGTATAATCAAACAAGGAATGGAGTCCGGCCAAACTTTGCCTTACAACCACTAAAAGAGTTGTTACTAATTCTCAGCCAATACCCAACAAAGTATTTTCCTACACACAGATATGCAGGGCAGCTGTTCCAGATCCGTGCAACACCGCACAGGATATTGTCAGTGATCACACAGCAACAAAAAGGATGAAAACTTCAATATACACACTCAGTTTCTGCTTCCAGAATCTGCAACAGAAATCACTTTGTGTAATAATTGTGCAAGAAACACAAGGTGACTTGGCAGGGCACAGCCAGTGTTTGTGCATATACCACTCTGTATTACTACAGAAAACAGCTACAGCATATTCATGGACTGATGCCAAATGTGCTTAGATTCCTTAAGAAAAACACTATGGGAATCCTGAAAGAGATGCCTAAAGAAGGAAAGCAAGAACTGATGAGACAGATGTGAGAGTGAATGAACACATTGCCTTTTGATATATAAAGTGGTAAAGAGGAATATTCTACCTCTGCTTAAGGCTTCTGGGTTTTTCAACAAAGCAACTGCACTATAACTGAGAATTTCTCAATTTGAAAATTGTGCACTTCTCAGTCAAGAGGGAATCATTTCTGTGCTAAAGTCTTGGTTACATCAGAATAAATTACCTCTCAGATGTATCAATGGACCAACAATTCACAGGGTCACATCTACTGATAATAAATATCTTCTGCTGACCTTCCTAACTCTGCTCACAATCAGTTAAGACAAGCCACAGATAATAACACCAATGTTTCAAACAGTGGCATAGACTGCAACTATATATGTAATTAGTGCAGATATGTCTGTATCACATTAAAAAAATGATGCTGCTTAGACAAAGATACCTCTGCAGGATTTCCCAAGTTCTCCTGTGGTGAAAAACCCTTTCCCTATTGCTAAGCAATATCGAATTGCAAACAAAAACGATCTTTGTTTTCGTGGTTTGCTTTTTTTTTTTAATCTACAAAACTGGAGGTTTTTTCCAACACAAAAAAACAGGAGGGTCCATACACACCTGTAATTCTCCCCCTTCCCTTTTTTTTTTTTTTTTTGCCTGGCCCACTAAAAAGTGACACTGGAAAGCTGAGCTGTTGCTCTGCTTTTCTTGATACACAAAGACAGCCTGAAGCATTTTTTCCCAGAAGACACATTCTTGTCTAGATGCTACCCTAAAATTCAGACCTTAACTGTAGTGAGAGAACTACAGTCTGGCTCAAATGGAATTTCTCCTCAAGTTTTCCAACATCAGTTCTGCTATAAAAGCAGCAATGACAGGAAGACCATAATGTAGATTAGACAGACACTTTGGTCTTTTTCATCATGTGACACACAAGCTCTAAATATGATTTACAATAGAAAAAATACAGCAGCTTATTGCATTAGAATTTGCAGTAGACGCCATCTACAAAAAACATAAAATCTTTACAGTTTAGGGGGTTATATATTATAAAAAGCAGAAGATGAAAAAAAAATTCAAGTGCAAAAACATCCCTTAAAATGGTCTTAAATTTTACCTAGTTTTGAAAGGAAGGATGGTCCATCAGTTGCTAGAGAGTAGCCAAAGACCCAGGTTCAATTCCCTGCTTCATCAGAGGCTTCCTGCATGGCCTTGGTCAAGCCATTTGACCAAATGAAACTCACTGACTGAGTTTCCTCATCTGTAAATTGGAATAATAGTACTTATACCCAGAAAGGAGGCACTGGTGGGAATCTGTTGCAGACTAACCAAGTAAAACTAGATAACAAGTTGGTCCATGACCTCTTACTCGTGATGTAGAAAGACCTACATTGTCAACATCTGGGAAAGAAAGGAAGAGAAGGCAGAAACCGAGATTTCAGTGTGGCAAACACATCTGAGGCCTCATGCAGCTGGTATGAGATGAAATTAAAACAACTAAACTACAATAGTTTCCTAGTAGTTTCCTGATGCAAACAGTACTATTTTGGAATCCATTATGTGAGACAGATGATGTACACATCAGTGCTTAAAAACCTTTCAGCTTCCAATTCAGTAACCATGTTTCAAACTATTTCTTACAAGCAAAGGCAAAAAAATCCGATCTGAAATATATATCTACAGACACAGTGTTTTACTGCAGCTCATTCACAAACATGCAAAGGAACAAGCCTCAGCTTTGGAATACCTACCCCATGCTGTACCAACCTCAGTTCAGAGTCACTTTAGAGCACATTGCACCTGACACACTCCTGTTGTAACAAACAGAGCAGCACTCGGAGCCCTGCACAATCAGCCCTGTGGGTGCCTCTGTGACCCAGCAAGAGGCTGAAACTGTAATTGTCACTGGTAGGAATGCCACAGCAATCCAGCTGGCCTCAAGCCATGCTACCTCTGTAACAAGACACTACTCAAAACTGATGTACCATTTTATTTACAAAAGAAGGTGGAGTACAAGCAGATTTACATCGTGCCTTCAACTCCAAAGACTCTACTTAATCCAATCCAAATACAAAAGGCAGATTGCAGGTGGCCTCTACACTTCTGACCCCTCCCTGTGAGATTTGGCCACCATACAAACCAGATCATTAGTCAAAGCAAAGCAGTTGTCCAAAATTCAGAATTGGAAAGGCCTTCAAGTAGCATGGTGCTTTATTCTCCCAATACACAGCAAGTAACAAATACGTACATTCATAATTCTGTACTGCAAGTTCTTCAATAAGTTACTCGTAAAACAGCACCTTGAGAAAATTATGGCTCTTTGTAGTCACTTTAAGTAGTTAATATGTTTCAGGAATTTAGATGGGTAAAACCCCTTAGATGAGCTTGGATGAAGATCAGCAGCCCGCTGTCACTGCAAGCAGCAGGACGGTGCCTCTCCACTGTCACTGCAGGGACCCATTGCTTCCCCTCAAACAAGCAGCCCAGCTGACCCACTGTGGGTACAGTGAGGGAACAGTGGCACTGAGCACACACAAGGAATTGCTAATTTCCTGCAATCTTCCTCTGTGCTGTTTATTTAAGGGTCCAGTGAAGCATCACTCACAAGAAACAGGAAGGGCAATTACTTTCTTTTTTTTATAGCAGCTAGCTACTATATTGACTTAATCATAACAACATCAGGCCAAACTCTTCCACTCAAGTCTTCATCAACAAGCTTTTTCTTAAACATTAAGACAGGAACATGAAGTACTGGACTATTGTCTCTCCTGCAGTGCAGAATTTCTCTGCTGTGGTACTTTTTTCCACTTTAACCACTGAGCAGCTGAACACTTGAGAGAGATGAGCTGATTTGAACGAGTTTGGTTTATGTCAAACACGAAAATGACTGTGCTCAGTATCTCCCTCTCAGATAACAAACGCTTCCCAAGTCAAATTTGGGATCTAACAGTAACCTCACAGCAACCTGTAACCTCACAGGTAACCTGTGCCTGCAGAGCCAACACGGGTCTATCAAAGGAACCGGATCCAAACCAGCAGCACACACCAGACACAGCAGCACTTCATGCAAGCCCCACCTCAAGGCAGC